ACTGAAGCCTCTAGGCACGTACTGTAGCGCGCCTTGAACACATGCGGCTCTCCAGGGGGCGCTTCACCTTGAAGAGCCACCGGCCATCGACTACGTTCACCCCAGGGGGAACTGCGTCGACATAGGTGCCGGTAGCCCTCCAAGATGCCATCTCCTGCTCCATGGCAGCCATCCACTGAGAGGCCCAAGGTCCCGAGGTCGCCTCAGCGTAGGTGCGAGGGTCGGGATGTCGAAGGCGTCGGGGTCACCCTCATGGACTAGCAGCATGGAACAGAGATGGGGAGCAGCCTCTGACAGGAAAGCAAGCTCGTACTGCCAGTCCTCCAAGACGTCACTGCCGAGGGCAGGAGCACCCTCGACGAACGGAGGACAGACGGGGTCAGAGACCAGAGCGGTAGCGAAGTCAAGGCGGCGAGGAAAGGCAAAGTCAGCGACAGCAGCTACAAGAGCGTCAAGACTGGAGACAGGAACAGACGGTCGGTAACGAGGGAGGCAAGGCCGAGGAACAAGAGACGAGCAGCACGAAGGTAGTCAGATAAAAGGGGAGGCGCGACAGTAAGCGACGACGGAGGAGGCGAAGGCAAATAGGGAGGACGAGACGCGTGGGAACAAAGCAACATAGGGTGAGAATGTTGAATAAGAGAGACAGGACGAGAACGAGAGGGACCGCGAGACCAGACGTGAGACAGAGGCGTCGGGGGAGGGACAGGTGGCGCAGACTGCACCGCGGGCCACCGGAGTCAGCCGACTCCTCGACCGGAACAACCGAGGGGGAGTGACGTGAGACACACCGGACGGAGTAGGACGGGGACGGAGGGGAGCAGGGGCGACCGGGGGAGTGGGAACCAGAAACAGGAGGGGGGAGCCAGGAGACCTCGGTGAGGAAAGAGATGGAAAAAGTAGACAGACTCGTCGAAAGTGACGTCACGGGAGTGAAGGAAGTGGTGAGACGACGGGTGGTAGAAGTGCCAGTCAGACGAGTCGAGGGGGAAACCGAGGAAGACACAGGGGACGGTGCAGGCAGTGAGATTGTCCGTGCCAGAGGCATGAACGTGAGCGAGGGAACGCAGACGCATCACCAGGGAACCCGGTCCAAAGAAGGGTCGGCGAAACTTGCGGCCGTTTGAGAGCGAGGCCAGAGTTAAGCTGGTGAGCAGCGTAGCGAACGGCGAACGGCCAGAGAAAATGGGGTGCACCGGCATAGATCATGGAGGTACGAGCCACATCCATGACCAAACCGATGGTCGCTCAGCGACCCCATTCTGCTGCGGGGAGTCCGGTAGGGTGTAAGTATGGGTGATACCCTCCGCACGAAAAAACTGACCCATCTGACCAGAGGCAAACTCGCCGCCATGGTCGGAGTGGAGACACAGCACAGGGAGATCTTGTGGAGGCGCGCAGCGACGAGCCACGGAATCAGAACGTCAGGCACGTCGGCCTTCCGCTCCAGGGGAAACACCGTGGTGTAGCGCGTGAAGTCGTCAACGAGCACCAGAAAGTAGCGCTCGCGATGCGGTCCAGGGATAGGGGCTAGGCCCCAGACGTCCAAGTGTAGGGTCTGAAGGGTGCAGTGGCAGGGCGAAGTGAGGAGGAGTGAGGAGCACGGCGCAGCCGGCCCTCGACGCTAGGGCATGCACGGCGGCGCAGGCGAGGGAGGGAGAGCAGGGAGCGACGCAGGAAGGCCAAGGACTAGACCGTGCTGAGACATGTGACGCAGGCGGGGGAGCGCGGGGTGACCTAGGCGGTGGAACCACAACAGTGACGTGAGTGAGCGACCGACACGAGCAGGCCGCAGCTACCTGGGTGGACGCAGGACTGGAGGAGGACCCGCCTGCCAGGGGGGGAGCAGTGTCCAGCGTAAACAGGCCAGACACAGGGTCCCGGGGGAACGTCGTAAGGGGGGCACCTGAGGCGGCCTCGGAACAGACTGCGTACCGCTTGTGACCAGGGAACGTAGTGGTGACGCCGAGGTCCTGAAGACAGCCGACACCAACTAAGTTCCTGGAGAACGAATGAATGTGCAGGCCTGTAAGGGAACCCGAGGGAACTGCCGGACAGGGAAGGGTAGTGTAGCTCCGAGCAACTACAGGACAAAAGGAGGGGTCCGCAAGGGCGACAACGGCAGGCGCAGTAAGCGGCGTGAGGGCGGTGTGGTCGCGGAAGAAACAGGCTGACGCACCGGAGTCTAGAGTGAAGGACAGCGACGGCGTAGTAGCCGACGACGGAGAAGCAAGGGTAGAGCCTAGGCTAGACAAAGCAAGATGTCCTACGCGTGACGCAGCAGGGGAGTCTGGACTACACACAGGTGCTACGCCTAAGCTAGAGAGCACAGAGTAATACGATCCGGAAACACTCGAAGCGTCAGCATACAGAGAATGCAAGGCAGAACTAATCCGATCCATGTCTAAATCAAGCACAGGCACACCGTGGAGCAGCAGGCTGGGCCAGTCAGGGAGGTCCAGGGCGGGACCAAAGCGGCGACGGAAGAGGTCGTTGAGGCGGTGGAGACAGCGGGCGGTGGGGTGCGAGCGGTGGCAAACCGTGCTACGCAGGGGCCCGTTCTGAAGCTGTGGTGACTGGTACTAAATCACGTAGCTCACAGCACTGAAGCTGCCGGTGGACGCCAAGCTGCAAGGGCCACCACCACGACCACCACTGCCAGGGGCTCCTGGCCACCCGAGCGGGAGACGAGCCCACGGTTGCTGTTGCCGCTGCTGCTCCTGTGACGGCTGCTGCTGCTGCGGCGGCTGCGACTGCGGCCGCTGCGACTTCGGTGAATGTTGTTGCTCCTGGGCACCAGCACCAAACCCCTTGTCAGAACCACTGTCCTCGCCAACACCACCACTAGCGCCACCTCCACGTCCTCCTTGGGCCACAGCGGCCCCGGCGCTGGCGCTGCGGGTAAGCCGCGGCTCTTGTCTCAGGTGCAGGCGCAGTCGTGGAAATTGCGGTGGAGATGTTAGCGTACGTGCACTGGGAGGGGCACAGCCCTTAAAGATAGGGACTGCCGTAATACCGCTCGACTGAACGATAGTGTGCTGGCGAGTCTCTATCTCAGACAGAGTAGTGACAAAGGCGGTCAGGGTGAGGTCGACAGGGTGCTGACTAAGGAAGTGGTCGAGGGTAGTGGCTAAGCGGTCAGGCAGGCGCATGGCGATGAGGTACAGGTAGCGCAGAAAGGTGGGGGGAAGGCAGTAAGCTGGGCGGCAGAGCTAGCAGCGCGTAGCTGGTCTCTAGTGCACGGAGGTGAGTAGCGAGGTTAGCTACCGTGGGGAAAGCAGAAAGATCAAGGGAAGAGCATGGGTAGGATCAAGCGGCCAGCAGAGGCGGAAGCAGGTGTGGAGTAACGCTCAACTACTGCAGCGAGAAAGTGGTAAAGCGCGGACGCTCAGACAAGGGGAGGGCATGGCTAATGGCAAGCTGGGCTACTGCATCGCGAGAATCCCAGACAGCTCGAGCAAGCGCAGCAGCAGCAAAAGCCTCGCTCTCAGCAGTGGTAGGGTCAGCAGGGAGGGGATCAGGCGCAGGGGGGCGGGGAAGCAAACCATCAACATGCATAGCCAGGGAGTGCCCATCCTGGCGCTGACCTGTCAGGTGCCGGTGGAGGTCGACGAGCCAGGCGGCGAAGTCGATCGCGTGCCCTCAGCGTCCAAGCGAAAACGGCATCCGCCATCGCACAGTGTGACAGCGGCACAGCGGCTCAGCGGCGCAGCGACTGGGCGGCTCGGCGGCGCGGCGGCTCGGGGACGCGGCGGCTCGGCGGCACGGCGGCGCGGCACGGCAGCTCGGCGGCACGGCGGCTCGGCGGCTCGGCGGCTCGTGGCGCGGGTGCTCGGTGGCTCGGGGACACGGCGGCTCGGCGGCTCAGGCCGACGAGGCCAGCTAGGGCGCAAGGGGCCGGCTAGGGCACAAGGGGCCTGCTATGGCGAGCGGGGCCGGCAAGGGCGCGTGGGGCCGGCTAGGGACGCAGGGGGGCCGGTAGGAGCATGAGGGGCTGTAGGGGCGCGAGGGGCCGGCTAGGGCGCGAGGGGCCGGTAGGGGTGTGACGGGGCCGGCTAGGGGCGCGAGGGGCCGGTAGGGGCGCGACAGGGCCGGCTAGGGGCGCGAGGGGCCGGAGTGGTGCGGGGGGCGGCTAGGGGCGCGACGGGGCCGGCTAGGGGCGCGACAGGGCTGTAGGAGCGCGACGGGGCCGGTAGGGGCGCGACGGGCCAGCTAGGGGCGCGACGGGGCTGCAGGGGCACGACGGGGCTAGCTAGGGGCGCGACGGGGCCGGCTAGGGCGCGAGGGGCCGTAGGGGCGCAACGGGGCCTGCTATGGGCGCGACGGGGCCGTAGGGGCGCGACGGGGCCGTAAGGGCGCGACGGGGCCTGCTAGGGGCGCGACGGGGCCGTAGGGGCGCGTGGGGCCAGCTAGGGGTGCGAGGGTCCGGTAGGTGGCGGCACGGGGCGGAAGCGGGTGGGTGGACCTACCTACTCGTGATACCATGTTAAGACTAGAAAGTATGATGAGAAGAAGGGAGAATAGGGGAGATATAGCGTTTGGGTTGTACCCACTAAGAACATACCCTATCTAGCCTATAACTTCTACATAGCAATATATGTATAAGTTGTCACACATGAACCACCTGTGTAATCTATTCTGCAAGAATGTTGCTTTGCTTCTCTGTAGAATAAATTTGTACGGTGTTCCATGAGGGCGTGAACGAAGTTGGTTCAATTCAAACTAATAAAGGGAGAATAGGATCAAATAGATGGGATGGGACAATACAGGTAACAGAACACCCCCCCCCCCCCCCCCCCCCAAAATTTCTCCTCCCCCCTCTCCCCCCTGGCCCCCCTAAATGACTCAATCTTGGTAACCCTTGCAGAGACTCCTAAGCTAAGGTCTCAGGTAGGAAAGTGTCAGTAAGGCAAGCATGCTGCTTATTCAGAAGAACACATGCAAACGACACCAAGCAGCTGCTCCCATCAGGTGTATGACTAGAGTGCCACAGACGGATCGTGTAGTGTACGTTCAATGCAGCTCGCCAGCCCCCCTGATACGTTTATTTTGAACTCTGCCAAGCAGAGTGGGGAATGAAAGGCAGGAACGCGTCGTTCCTCACCCGCAACCGACCGTTTCCTTGAAAGCAGTGTATCAATAAAGAAGCACAGCTGCTGCCACAGCAGCAGCGCCGTAGTTAGAGATGCCAAAGGAGCACTGACCGGGGCATCCTTGCGCCGTTGACATCACACAGGACCTTCTATTCCTTTAACCGCCACCGCCAGCAGTACCGTTGGTTGCAGCCCCATAGTCGCAGATACAAAAGGGCACCCTGCCCAAGGAAGGACGTCTTCCTTCAAGTGAGCCACCATAAAGAGAACCCTACCACCGCCAGCAGCACCGCCGTACTCGCAGACTCCGAGGGTGCACTGGCCGGGCAGTGCGCCCCAACGGTACTGAAGTCAGCTAACGCCCCCACCGCCACTGCCGCTAGCTCCGCCGCCACCACCGCCAGCAGCAGCAGCAGCGCCGCAGTTGCAGATGCTGAGAGCACACTACTTTTGAGGCGGCTCCGAAGCAGGAAGGCTGGCTAACGGGCACCACCGCCACCACCGCCGCCAGCAGCAGCGCCGTAGTTGCAGATGCCGAGGGTGCATTGGCCAGGGCAGCGCGCCCCGCATGCGCCGCAGTGGTCGTTGCTGGAGTCGAGATTCGCGCAGCTGCCGCCGCAGCAAGCTAGCGACACGTCGCAGAAGCTGCCGCACGCCCCGCAGTTGTTGATGTCCGTCGCCTGGTCCACGCACAGTCTGGGGGGGGGGGGGAGGTGAGGTGGGGGGAAAGAGAAGGGGAAGGTTCAGCAGGGAACCTCTTGCCATAGGCATGCCTCGCAGTCATTGAGTGGAAGCGGTAGGGGAATGGGCAGCATCAGACAAGCCACTTGCCTGCTGCACACGGCGACATTCCCTGGATTTCACATACGCACTGCACATTATGGGGGAACTGAATGGCGGTAAGTTTCGGGGACAGTCCCTGGTTTTCCCTGGGGCAACTCACGATCCACAGCCTAGTTGGGGAGCATTAACTCAACGAGAGGAGATAAGAAAGGGACTCACGATCCGCAGACGGTCTGGTTGTTGGGGCACTGGAAGACCTGCAGGCGACGCCACTTCACTCTTGGGCTGGCGGCGGCGCTGGTACGTCCTATCTGGGATGAGCGCATGGCGTAGCGCTGAATGGGGAAGGGCGGAAGGGCGGAAGGGCGGAAGGTCGAAGAGTTATGAGCGAGGATAGCAGAGCCGATGACACTAGACTCTGGGACTGGTGGCAGCGCCGGTGCGTCGTATCAGGGATGAGCGCATGGCGTAGCGCTTATTGGAAATGGGCGGAAGGGTGCAGGTCGAAGGAACGCGAGGAGCATGGCAAAGACAGAATGAGAGACGCTGAAGTGGATAGCGGCGAATGGGACGGGAGGCGAGCATCGCCCGAGATGCGCAGAGTGATGGCGCCCTGCGCCCATGATGCGTACACGTGTTTCAGGAGGCAATTTTTGAGTCGACTCAAAAATCGACACGTGTTTCAGGAGGCATACGTACGCAAGAGAACTCAGAAGAGCAGGAGGAAAGCGACGAGAGGAGCAGCGAGGAAAGCGGATGTTGCGGCGACTTGTCGGACTTGTTAGTCAAAGTTCAACTTTGACTTGTACAACGGACTACAAGTTGTCTCACCCACCCCTTCGGAAGTTGACTCTGGAACCGCGCCGCACGAGCCGCCTCCGTTTTCGCACCGGATGTGTCCACTTTCGTTTTGAGGCGCCTCAAAACCGAATGTGTCCACTTTCGACGTACCTCGAAGTCCCTGGAGCTTTGTGAGAAGGCCTGCGCGCTTCCAGTAATCGCCGCGCACACGAGCAGCACCGCAAACAGCTCGATCGCCCACCGAGGGACGACGCCGCGTCGTGCCGCGGGAATGCCGCGCTCCCGGGAAGCCATGCTGGCCGCTCTTACTCTGAGGCAGTTGGGAATCCGAGTCGCTGCGGCTCGAGTGGACGTCAGCCGGGAATCGCCGTCGCTCGATTCGCGGATTAGTACTAGCACTAATTCTACTAGCGCTCTATTCGCGACCGTGTCGTCCGATCTATTGGACGACGCGGCCCGTCCAATAGTGGATTCGACGCCGGTCGTCCGATCCGTAGCTATTACTAGCAAGCGAGCGCGGTAAGAGCAGATGGGTCTCGAGCTGGAGACGGGTGGCCGTGCAAAAGCCAAATCCGTGTTGATTACGATTGATATCTCTCGTAGTTCTACGAGCTCATGATGTCGGGGTTATAGAGACTGCTGCTAGCCTGCTAGGTGCTACCGGGCTGGATGCTATCGAGGAGGAACGCCGTGGATAGTCGAGTAGGTAGCGATTCAATTTCGAGCCGGGCGTCGCAGGCGAGACAAGATAAGAATCGGATTTCCGCGTGGGATTGTTCGAGTGGTACGCAACCAATCGACCCGCCAGCTACCACTAGAGAATAGACTATCTTTGACGTTCAGACGAGAGAGAGGTCAAGTGAGTCGCGCCTAGTGGGGATGGCGGTGGGTGGTCTGGCGCCATCACTGACTCGTGTAGCGGGAATCGTCCCGTTCGCGCTAAGGCGTTTGTAGCCGTATTCGTCGTCTACTTGTACGATGCCTGTCGTCTGTTGCTGAAGTGGACGACTGTGTTAGCTAACTGTGGTGGGTCACACGGCCTGTGTAGAACGAAAGGGGTGGTTGGGTCTATTGGGTTGGGGCTATGGGGCTGCGAGATTGGGGGGGGTGAGATAGTGAGTGGGAAGAAATGGATGGAGTGGAGTTGCTTGCCTGGGGGATTCCGAAGCGCGATATTTATCGATGAATTGCTCAACATCGGACCGCGCGAGAGTGGGAGGACCATGTGTCCACTCCGGGCCGAGCATGGATGAAACGGCTTGATCAGGCATTGCCTGTTTGAGCGAACCTCGCCGACATCTGCAAACGGGTTACCAGACGAAAACGCTGAGCAAACTTACAGATCTGCGTAATGCAGCGCACTTGAGAGCACTTTTCAGAACTGGCTAAGTGCGCGCATAGACGCGGTCGAGTTTCGAATCGAAACGCAAATGATACCTTCACATGTGTAAGTCACGGTTGACGCGAAATCTCGATAAGCCCCGAGCTGCCATTAGCTTCATCGTAAGAGAGTTCGCATAAGTTACCCTGTTCGCCAGTCTCGCTAGACTAGTATGAATGGTTTGGTACTCTACTGTAGCGCCAACTAAGCGCGACCAGCACAAAGCAGAGGCAGCTCATGGATTCCCTCGGGCAGACAAGACAGTTGCGGCGCGTCACTGGCATTCGTGGGGCAAAGTGTGTTGCCCATGTGACGCGTCGCGCGCGTCTCCGCTTCCAATCAATCCAGCAACAGAAGGAATTGGAAATTGGAATGGGACATGGGAGAGGGGGAGAGTGAACGTAGAGGGGAGGGGGATGCCAGGCTAGGGATCCAGTCAAGCCAGGGATCAAGCCAACCCAGCAGCCCAACGACTCCTCCCTTCCAACCCGACATCCGTGCCCCCGCGAGAGGAGGATACGCACAGAGCAGAAAAAAGGCACTCATCGTTCGTTGGTCGTATTCCCGGCTTCGATTCCTCTTATGACCTCCGGCTGCCACACTTCACCCTTTCCGCGCTGCCTTCTCGGTTCCAGCTTCTCAGGAACGTATCTCAAAGCGTCATAACTTAGTCGTGGATTGAAATCTCATTCACCTACTGATAGAGCTTCTTCAGGTTCAAACTACCCTTGCTCCCACTCCAGTCAAGTTCTTCCCCGGTTACCATCCCGCCTTGGTTCTTCCTTCCCCAGACACGTTAGTGCTTCTCGTGACCTCGTCACACATTTGCGCTTCCTGCTTTCCTATTTAGCGGCGGGTTTTCTAATCACCATCCACTACTATATCAGAAACACCACCTCCCAAACATCATCTGAGATTCGACTAGTACTTCCGAGCTCGACCCTAAGAAACTCGAATTCGACGCAATGACAACCAGCGAGTTGAGACTCGACTCGAGCAAGATGAGATCGAGGTTGATACACGCGGTGTTCCTCCTCTGCACCGCCGCGCTACTAGCAGCCGCGTTACCGCCCACAACAGCCAGCGCGAGAGACTTCGAAGTAAGGATCTCGTTTCTTCGTCTCACAACGGAGGACAGACAAGTTTTTTCCCTTGCGTTTTACACCCAGTGAAAGCCATTAACCTGATTGTCGGAGTACTCTCGCCGTTCTGAGTTCAACTCGCGCCGTTCTGAGTTCAACTCGCGCCGTTCTGAGTTCAACTCGCGCCGTTCTGAGTTCAACTCGCGCCGTTCTGAGTTCAACTCGCGCCGTTCTGAGTTCAACTCGCGCCGTTCTGAGTTCAACTCGCGCCGTTCTGAGTTCAACTCGCGCCGTTCTAAGTTCAACTCGCGCCGTTCTGAGTTCAACTCGCGCCGTTCTGAGTTCAACTCGCGCCGTTCTGAGTTCAACTCGCGCCGTTCTGAGTTCAACTCGCGCCGTTCTGTCACTGGCTCTGCCTCTGACACTGAAATCGAGACCAGATCGTCCGAAAGAAAGGCATTTCAGAAACATTGTCACCTTGAAATGCCTGTCCGAACGCATCCTACGGCAGTATATGCAGCTGGTGCACTTGCGTCGTCCGTACGCAACTAGTAGTTTTTGAGACGCGTCGTACATTTGCTCGTAGAACGGGCCATCTCTCTCACATTGAGACCTTGACTCGGTGCATTCCGAGTCGACCCGGAATGGCTCCGTACCATTACAGCTACTCTTTGTTTTGTTTTTTGAGAATTCTCAAACGCAAAACACGTCGACTCAGAATGGCCCCGTGCCATTGCAGCGACTCGCTCACCCGATTCGTGCAGAGTCACGCGACGACGCCACTCGCCCAAAATCGGACTAGACCCCCTTGATCTCTCCCCAAACTCCTTCCAACTTCCTTCTTCAGCCGCTTCGAAACTCGCCATCCGGTTCTTGCGTCGTCACACGATGACGCCATCCGCCATTTCCGACGATCCCCATAACCACCCCCCCCTCTCCCCCCCCCTCCTCACCTCCCAGCTGCTTCCTCCCACAGCTCCTTCCCCGTTTTTTCCTGCGCAGCGATGTGACTCACGCCGTTTGAAACGGTTGGGCGCTACGTACTGATACAACTAATCGATACAAGCCATTCAAGAAAAACTCGCACCCTAATGATACAACTCATTCCATGCACCGTACGGCATTCCAAGTATTTTCACAAGTTGTACTCTTCCCTGTTTTTTTCTCCCTGCACTCCATGTCCCGCAGCGGTATGCCATGCGAACGTCGCGAATCGGTGGTAACTCGCGAGTGAAATGGCGTCGCCTGCAGGTCGTCCAGTGCCCCCAAAACCAGACCACCTGCGGATCGTAAGTCCTGTCATTGCCAACGCTGCGTCCTCATGCGTGTGGGATCCGCACGTGCCTTGTGGGATCCGCACGTGCCTTGTGGGATCCGCACGTGCCTTGTGGGATCCGCACGTGCCTTGTGGGATCCGCACGTGCCTTGTGGGATCCTCGCGTGCCTTGTGGGTTCCGCGCTTGCGTTGTGGGATCCGCACGCGCCTTGTAAAATCCCGTGGCGCAAAGCACCTTCATTCATATCCGCGCCTTACAACCGATTGCTGTACGGTATATCCCATCACGTATACCCCTCCTGTTTGCTCCCACCCTTTCTTCCCCATCAGTATATGCTTGGACCAGTCGACCGACATCAACGCCTGCGGGATGTGCCTTCTGCAAAAGGCTCTCTGCTGAACATTCCCCTTCACTTTGCCCCAACTCCGCTGCCCCCACTCCTCCCCCCTTCCCCATCCCCCCCCCAGTCTGTGCGTGGACCAGGCGACGGACATCAACAACTGTGGAGCGCGTGACTGTTGCAAAGGGTTCCCTGATGAGAATTCCTCTTCTAATTGCTGTTTCTTCTCCCCCCCTTCCCCTACCCCCCCAGTCTGTGTGTGGACCAGTCGACTGACATCAACAACTGCGGGGAGTGCCTATCGCATAAGGTTGTCTCTGCTGATCGTTTCCCTTCTCTTTCCCCCCCATCCCCTCTCCCCTCCCCACCCACCCCCCCAAGTCTGTGCGTGGACCAGGCGATGGACATCAACAACTGCAGGGAGTGCAAATTAGAAAATGTTATCTGCTAAAATTTTCCTTCCCTTTTCCCCTTGCCCCCCCAGTCTGTGCGTGGACCAGTCGACGGACATCAACAACTGCGGGGCGTGCGGCAGCTTCTGCGACGTGTCGCTGGCTTGCTGCGGCGGCAGCTGTGCGAATCTCGACTCCAGCAACGACCACTGCGGCGCCTGCGGGGCGCGGTGCCCCGGTCAGTGCACCCTCGGCATCTGCAACTACGGCGCTGCTGCTGGCGGCGGTGGTGGAAGGAGATAGCGAGCTGGTATGGGATATGGGCGAATGCTATACTGCACATGGAGATGCTTGAGAGGGAGAAGCTGGACTAGGTGCTGAAGAGAAGGGCATCATAGGACAAAGAGCGCATTGTCCTATAATAAGCTCTTCACTTCCCTACAGAACAATAAATGGCCAAAGAATTTTGGCCTTGTATTTCTAGTCCTGACCTCATGTTTTGTTTGTTTAATGTTAAAAATCTGTATTGCAGATTTGTGTTGGCATGTGGTATTATGAAAGAGGGAAAACTTAAGAGCATGCTGCTTCACTGAACGTGTGGGAATGAGTGGTTTGCAACTTCTTCGACATACTTTAGTGCAACTAATTCTGAAAACGCCATAACGGGGAAAGTTGGGCGCGTGTACTACACCGTAACGGGAAATTGCTGCTTAGGCTTGGGCCCAATTCAGAATCAGGGCATATTCTGCGCTCCAGTCACAGGCAGAAAGGGCAGACTCCAGCGTAAATTTCCAGGCAACAAGTGGCTGACTTCGCCGCGCAATGCGCCCTCTCCATTCTCGTCGCCTTAGCACTAAAAGTGGTTTTGCCGGCCTACCGGCTGGCTGGCTGACGTTGAAATGCTGGTGATGATCGGCAAGGAGTGCACTGCCTACCGGCTGGCTGGCTGTTGCCAGACGGTCTGAAACTAGTAGGGTCACGAGTAGTCGCGAGTACTAGTTCTAATACCGCTACCAGAAGTTTAACTACTACTATACTACCGCTATTCAGCAGCAGTGAATTTGTCCACGAGCCGAGCGCGATGCGGGCGGCCACGGTAATAATGTCAACGCGCCTACTGTCGACGCGTCTACTGTCGACGACAGTCGTGGCGCTGCTGGCGCTAAACAGAGTAAAGTTAAACCTTCTTTGCTGTGCCACGTGCCACGTGCCACGTGCCCGCGGCACTGTGATACCGTGCTAAACTGGAGTTTGTACTAGTAATCGAATTCCTCGGAACTTCAAACTCGTGTTCGGACCAAATGTGTAACGAGCTCTCTCGGATAGATGGTACGTCCCATTTCAGTGTTCGGACATTGCTACCTCCTTCGTGTGACAGTTCTAGTTTCGATTTGATTCGACTCAAAACGAAACTAGTATGATACAATCACATTGCCACCTCCTTCGTGTGATACTATACGAACGAAACTTCTACGATACAATCACATTGCCACCTCCTTTCGCCCATTTCATACGTGACGAGTAAAACGCTCGCTCTCTCTTTAATCTGTAACTCATATCCTCCTCTCCTGGTAACCTTCCAGCCCTCCCTCCCCAACTTTTGAGGCGCCTCTAAAACTTTGAGCCGCCGCAAAAGTCGTCTCCTTTACGATAGAACGACTAACTCATACCCTCCTCCCTTAGTACCCTTCCGCTCCTCCCTCCCGAATCCCCATGGAGGGCCGGATACTGCGAGAGATTCGGTGCCATGCTAAAGCTTGAAATACGCGGCAGCAGCACCTTCGTATCGTGCCACCTGTGTTTGAGGGTAATCTCATATCCTCCTCTTTTGGTAACCAGATGGCTACTCTTCGTGCTGCTGACGGGGGTGTTGACGGGGGTAAATATTCCCCATCGACAAAACGCAACTCTCGTTTCTCTCTCCCACCAACGCCTCCTACTAACCCCGCAGGCTATCGATCGTGAGCCCTATGCGCGCTTCCATAAGCTGTAAGGCCTAAAACGGAAGAAAAAGGCTCGGTGGCACGGTAGGCTGAATCAGTGCGTTAAGCCAGTTGTAGCGCGTTTCTGGGCTGCTTCTTCCCAGGAGCAGGTTAGGTTAGATAGCGCGACAATTCTAAGCTGCAAGAGTGATTTTTGAGTCGTCTAAAAAATCACCTCAGGCCTGTTTCTTCCCAGGAGTAGGTTAGGTAAAATAGCGCGACAATCCTAAGTAGCAAGAGTTCACAGCGAATTGCTGGCCGAGCCGAGCTGAGCGGGGCCGGCTTGACGGCGAGCCGACTTTTGAGTCGACTCAAAAGCCGGCCCTGGCTCGCCAACAGAAATGCGAGCGGAGCCAGGCATTTTTGGAACCCTGCTCGACTCGAGCCGAGCCCGGCTCGACGGGACGAGCCGAGCCGAGCCAGGCTCGGCTCATGCCCACGTCTAGTATCGACCCTGTCATCACTCGTTCCTCCCTCTCACCTTCTATCCTCTCACCTTCTATCCTCTCACCTTCTATCCTCTCACCTTCTATCCTACTTTCTATCCTCTCACCTTCTATCCTCTCACCTTCTATCCTCTCACCTTCTATCCTCTCACCTTCTATCCTCTCACCTTCTATCCTCTCACCTTCTATCCTCTCACCTTCTATCCTCTCCTCTCACCTTCTATCCTCTCACCTTCTATCCTCTCACCTTCTATCCATTCCACCTCTCTCGTCTTGGCTCCTTCAGGTGTTCCCTGTCACCCTTGCCGACTCCACACATGACCAGGCTCCCTCTGCTCCCTCTGCTCCCTCTGCTCCCTCTGCTCCCTCTGCTCCCTCTGCTCCCTCTGCTCCCTCTGCTCCCTCTGCTCCCTCTGCTCCCTCTGCTCCCTCTGCTCTCTCTGCTCCCTCTGCTCCCTCTGCTCCCTCTGCTCCTCTGCTCCTCTGCTCCCTCTGCTCCCTCTGCTCCCTCTGCTCTCTCTGCTCTCTCTGCTCCCTCTGCTCCCTCTGCTCCCTCTGCTCTCTCTGCTCCCTCTGCTCCCTCTGCTCCCTCTGCTCTCTCTGCTCCCTCTGCTCTCTCTGCTCCCTCTGCTCCCTCTGCTCCCTCTGCTCTCTCTGCTCCCTCTGCTCCCTCTGCTCCCTCTGCTCTCTCTGCTCCCTCTGCTCTCTCTGCTCCCTCTGCTCCCTCTGCTCCCTCTGCTCTCTCTGCTCCCTCTGCTCCCTCTGCTCCCTCTGCTCTCTCTGCTCCCTCTGTTCCCTCTGCTCTCTCTGCCCTTTGCTCTCTCAGGTGTTTCCAGTGACCACTGCAATAGAAGACCGGTTTGTCCCCCCCCATGTGGACTTTGAGTACCCGGACGCCCTCTGTGGCACGGCATGGCGGGACGATTACATCCGCCTGCACTCCGCCATTCGCGCCGCCAGTGCCGCCGCCTACAACTCCCCTCCTCCCTCTCCTCCTCCTCCTCCCCCTCCTCCTCCCCCGGCCCCATCTCAAGGAATCAATGCTCCTTCTCCCTCCTCCCTTGCCCCTCTTCTGTCTTCCGCTGCCCCACTACAACCGGCCCCCCCACCAACCTCGCCCCCACTCCCACCACCAGCCTCCGCCCCCGCCCCTTCTCCCACCACTGCACCCCTCCCGCCCTCCTCCCCCCGGTTTCTCACGTTCGACCAGCCGGGGCCGTGCGGCGGCTTCGGGGACTTCCTAGTGGGGGTGGTGTCGCTCTTCGCCGTCGCGTTGCTGGACCGCCGGGCGTTCATAATCCGCCACGACTGCCTCCCATACGCCTTTGAGCCCGCGTTCATCGACTGGCGAGAGTCCCCCGATGTCCCCCTGGAGCCGTCTTATCAAGGGAACTATGTAAATGGGACGTTTCCGGAGGAGAGAATTCCGCGTATAAACCTGCACGATCAAAGAGTGGATTTGCAGGAGTTTGCGAAACTAAAGGCGTTTAGGAATGTGAGGGTGCTGTGGAACCGCGGCATGCTAACGGAGATTCTTACAAGGGGGACGGGCGAGTGGGCGGATGCGCTCAGGGCGACGGGGTTGCGCCCACCGTATGCCTTCGGTTGCATTCTCCGATTCCTCGTCAGGTGCGCCTCGTGTGCACCATCCCCTCTCTCCTCGTCAGGACCACCGTACACCCTCAGCTGCATTGTCCGATTCCTTGTCTGTCAGGTATGGTTGTATTTAGCGTCATGGGGGTCAAGAGCTGTTTGCAAGAAAAATTAACATGGAAACACCATAATCAAGTTTGTTTCCGAGGCGGTTTGTGCCCGAGACATGTAGGTGCGTGCAAGGTGACAGCAAGCGTGGTACTTGATATTCAGGTTGCTCTGTTCTCTTGGATAGCTGCCAGGTGTCATCTGACGCATGTGGGTTTTGCGTTTGATGCATGTCGGTTTTGTGTTTGATGCAGCTGGGCTTTGCGTTTGATGCATGTGGGTTTTGTGTTTGATGCATGTGGGGCTGCAATTGATGGATGTGACCTCGCGATTGATGCTTGTAGACCCATTGCATCAAATGCAAGACCCATGTGCATCAAATGCAAGACACATGTGCATCAAATGCAAGACCCACATGCATCAAGTGCAAGACCCATATGCATCAAGAGCAAGACCCATATGCATTAAATGCAAGACCCATGCGCATCAAATGCAAGACCCACATGCATCAAGTGCAAGACCCATATGCATCAAGTGCAAGACCCACATGCATCAAGTGCAAGACCCATATGCATGAAATGCAAGACCCATGTGCATCAAGTGCAAGACCCACATGCATCAAATGCAAGACCCATATGCATCAAGTGCGAGACCCATGTGCATCAAGTGCAAGACCCGCATGCCTCAAGTGCAAGTCCCACATGCATCAAGTGCAAGAGCAAGACCCATATGCTTCAAGTGCAAGACCCACATGCATCAAGAGCAAGACCCACCATGTGCATATAAAGTGCATAATGTGCATAAAGTGCATAATGTGCATAAAGTGCATAATGTGCATAATATGCATGCATCCAGTGCAGAACCCCCAAACCCACGTTCCCATAAAGCCCATCGTTTTGAACCTATAAAGGAGATATGGCCACGTTTCTAGTAGGCAATGCTGCACAGCAGTTATGGTGGGGTTGCATGTGGGGGTGATCTTTGAGTCAACTCAGATGTCATCTGCGGGAGTCGCTGCACACACAGTGACGGTGGGGTCCACTCCACTCACCATTCATCCCTTCTTTTCACCATTCATCCCTTCTTTTCTCATCCCTCATTCCTTCCCCATCTCTCATCCTCCCCTAGAACCAAGAACGGAGGTTTGGCCACTGATGTCACAACGCCTGCACGAGATGCACGGGAGGCAGATAGTGACGGGGTTGGGGGGGGGGGGGGCATTTCATGTGCCATCCTTCCTCCAACCCTCACGCATCCCTCATTCCTCCCTTTATTCCTCATCCCTCTCTCCTTCCCCATCCCTCATTCCTCATCGCACCGAGACCGAGAAAGGAGCACGGCCACTGATGTCCCAACTGCTGCAGGAGATGCAGGGGGAGCGGGCATTGCTGGTGGGGACGGGTGCATGTGCTACCCGTTCACCAGCCCACCCTCGCTAATCCCGCAGTCATCCCTTGATTCCTCGTCCCTTGCTCCCTCCAGACCCGGGTGCATGTGCTATCCTTCCTCCGATGCGGGCTCATTCCCCACTCATTCCTCATTCATGCCCCCCCCCTCATCCCTCATCACTCATCCCCATTTACACCTAGGAAGGAGATATGGCCGTTGATGTCCCACCTGCTGCACGAGTTGCAGGGGACGCGGATCGTGACGGTGGGGGTGCATGTGCTACCCTCTCACAAGCCTACCCTCACTTATGCCTCCTTGCATGTGGTCATCCCTTGATTCCTTATCCCTCGCTCCCTCCAGACCCAGGAAGGAGATATGGCCGCTGATGGAGCACCTGCTACACGAGATGCAAGGGGCGCGGACAGTGACGGTGGGGGTGCATGTGCGGCTGAACGACGGGGTGATAAAGAGAGATAACGTGTCGGAGGAGAGTGTGAATGCGACCACCATGCTTAAAGCCCTGAGGAGCGTCAACTTCATGCTCGACTGTGCCCGGGTGAGTTGCGGGGATTGCTGGGGTGACTTGGGGGGGATGGTAGGTGGAATTCTGGTGGGTTGCAGAGGCTTTGTTCCCGTTTCGTAAGATGTGCGTCAGGCTCAGGTGGACGATGGTCCATACTTGCAAGGTTAACCATGTTGGAAATGCTTTGCGAGGCAGCGGTTACCCTTCCATAAGATGTGGTGCTCACGCTCAAGGTGGGACCGATGGTCCCATACTTGGAAGGGTTAACCATGTTGGAAAATGCTTTGCGAGGCAGCGGTTAACCCTTTCATAAGATGTCCTGCTCAGGGGGGCGGAAACACCACGCTAGACTGTGCCCCGGAGATAAAAAGAGAGGTGGGCTAGAGGTGGGACGGGGTGTATGTGCGGCTGAATGACGGGGTGATAAAAAGAGAGAACGCGTCGGACGGAGGAGAGTGTGAATGCGACCACCATGTTTAAAGCCCCGAGGAGCGTCAATACATGCTTGACTTTGTGCAGGTGAGATGGGAGAGGTGCTGCTGGGTTGAGTTGCGGAATGGTGAATTGGGTTCTGGTGGGCTGGGCTGCTGAGGTTTTGCTCCCTGTCCATCAGCCCTGCGATAGTTTAACATACATGTCCATCAGCCCTGCGATACTTGAACATACATGTCCATCAGCCCTGCGATAGTTTAATATACATGTCCATCAGCCCTTTGATAGTTTAACATACATGTCCATCAGCCCTGCGATAGTTTAACATAGTTTTAATTCGTCTCAAAACTATGTTTAATTCGCCTCTGAGTGATCATTATCAGCACCTGGATCACTCAGAGGCTTTGCTCCCTGTCCATCAGCCCTGCGATAATTCGATATTGTTCTAATTCACTGCAAAACTAGATGATTGGCACTCAGAGGCGTTGTTCCCTTTTCCGTCAGCCCTACCTCCCTCCACCGAGCGAACACCACTCAGCAGGTTTAGCCATACGTGGTAGCAGAAGTGGGTCGGTAAAAACACTTGTAACAACACTTGTAACAACACTTGTAACAACACTTGTTCTTTGTAACGGCAAGAGAAAATGGTTGCTCAGAGAAACCCCTCATGGGGCTCAGAGAAATTGGTACGCTGTGTTCCCTTTGCAACAGCCCATCTCCACTCGCCCCACGTCCCCATGGGCAGTAGAGGCCATGGGGCGCACACCCCCTCCACCTCTCACTGTGTCGTGCTCCCACTCCCTCTCACTTCACCTCCACACCCTCCCTCCTCGCTCCGCGCTCTCCCTTTCCTCCATCCGACCGAGGCAGTAGAGCCCGCACATCACATGCGGCACATCACATGCGGTACTGGCATAGCATCCACCACATACGGTACTGGCACACCATCCATCACACGTGACGCGATGCCCTCTCCCTAAACCGCCTCTCTCTCACTCGCCTTGAGATGGATGCTATGTTTGAGGCGCCTCAAAAATAGACTCATCACATGTATGCGCTGCCCTCTCCCTATCCCCCGCCTCTCCCTCACTCACCTTGAGAGGGTCGCTCATCACATAGTTTTCATAGGCAGTTTACCACACCCCACTTTCTCATCCTTCTCCCTTATCCTCTACATTATCCCTCACAGGCAGTAAAGGACATGTGCGACTGCTCACCTCTCTTTGTGCGATGGCCGCTCATCACGTAGTTTTCACCCTCCTCTCTCCCCTCGCTCCCCCTCCCCCACCCCCCAGTCAGTAGAGGACATGTGGTGCCTTCCGCCTCTCTCCGTGTGCTGGATCCCCATCCCCATCACCAACTCCATTCACTACACGCCCATTCACTACACGATGGCTGTGCGAGTGAACTGCCATCCACTGTGCCATGGATGCTCACTCACATCACTACCACTCCCCTTCCTAGACTCACTCCAACTCACACCGTCCCCCGTCCCCCCAGGCAGTAGAGGACATGTGGTACCCGCCACCCCTCTCCGTGCGCTGGATGCTCATCACCAACTCCATTCACTACAAGATGGCCGTGCGAGAGAATTTCCCTGGCAAGGTGTGTATTTCACGGTGCTGCCTGGAGAAGGTGCGTGCTGCCTGGGCAGTGTGCGTGCTTTCAAGGCAAGGTGTGTATTTGCAGGGCATCATTCAGAAGTCACTTCATGTTGAATATTTGTTTTGAACCACAGGGTCAATGCATGGAGTGAGCTCCATTTTGAACCACAGGGCATGGCAAGGTCTGTGATTCTTGGTGGGTGCTGCTTTAGGCGTGGGTTATGAAAGCATGATGTGTGGCCTGTCCCTCCCACACCCCTCCGCTTTCAATGCCTCCTATCCGACTTCTGCTTCCTGCTCTACCAGCAGCCCCTCCCCTTCCTCGCTACCTGCTTTTCCCTGTTCTCCTCCGTGTGCATGTTTCGATCCCTCATTGTTTCACTCGCAACTGTCCCCATAAATCACCACCAGTTGCTTTATTTCCCCACCCTTGACCCCCTTCGTCCCCCTACCTGACATGGCTGCCTCTGCAGGTCTTGGAGACAAATTTCGTTCCGCATCATTCCGCAGAATTCGGGCAGAAAGGGGATCCAAAGGAAGTGCAAGGCTTTCGAGAGATGGTTGCCGATTGGCTGCTGCTTTCCAGAAGCCGAGTGTTTGTGATCATGGTGTCTGGTTTCTCCCGCACTGCCGCAATGTTCTCTCTAAGACCCACAGCTATATTCACCCCTCTGAAGCACTGTGATCCGGAAACACCTTATTTGTTGAGTGATTTTGGCCTTGAATACAGTGGCATTTGATGGACTCAACTACTGAAGAGTATCCACGACATCTCCTTATTTGCAGAAGTGCACCGATACCATATCTGGAAAAAGACAGCCTAATCAAGGTGTATTGTTTCGGTGTCGGTTGGCATCATTTTTGGTAGTTTTTCATGGGTATCAGTGAATACATGTAGCAATTGTGCATAAAATCAACCACGAAAGGATCAAATCCCACTGTATGCAATGCCAAACTCGGTTTGCCGATACGGCTGTTCTGGGTCACAATAATGGGGCGGCGTGTAGATAGCCATTGGCCTAAGAGAATACATAGCAGCAGTGCGGGAAAACCCCGAGATGGTGAGAACGAAGGAGTTGCTAGACGCCAGCAGCAGCCACTCAGCAACCATCTCTCGGAACCCCTGTGTGGCTTTCTCCCTTGCTTGCTCCTCGTCTTTGTTTCCATAGGCTTCTGAGTGGTGAGGCACGAAATTTGTCTCGAGTATCTGCAGCAGCGGATGGTGTATGGGTGAACAAAGGGGGAGTGGGTTGGAAAAGAGGAGGCAAGATGACGGGGGAGTATGGGCATTGAGGCACCTCAAAAGAACAACGAAATTTGTCTCGAGTATCTGCAGCAGCAGTGGTGCACAGGTGGGCCATGGAGAGTGGGTCAGTTGCGCCCTTGCGCTGCTTTCTCCCTTGCCGCTTGCTCCTCGTCCTTGTCCCCAAAGGCTTCTGAGTGGTGCAGCATGAAATTCGTCTGGAGTTTCTGCAGAAGCAATGGCTCGCAGGTGGGCAATGGGGAGTGGGATGGGAAGGGGGAGGCGGATTGAAGGGAGAGAGTATGATAACTGAGGCGCCTCAAAATAAAGATTTAAAGTTTCTCGGGTGTCTGCAGCAGCAGCAGATGACGTATAGGAGGACAAAGGGGATTGGGGATCAGAAAGAGGAGGGAACCGGTACAAAGAGTCGCGAGTTGGTTCTTGAGAATTCTAAAAGGCCAAGGTTACTGGTAGGTGATTTTTGAGTCGACTCAAAAATCACCTTGAGCATTCTAAAAGGCCAAGGTAGCTCGCGGTTCTGGTAGAATGACTGGAAACGGGCCCTTGCCAAGGCCAACGAATCGTGTACCAAGGCATTTTTGAGGCGCCTAAAAAATAGACTCCTCACGCAACGAATCGTGTACCAAGGTATTTTTGAGGCGCCTAAAAAATAGACTCCTCACGCAACGAATCGTGTACCAAGGTATTTTTGAGGCGCCTCAAAAATAGACTCCTCACGCAACGAATCGTGTACCAAGGTATTTTTGAGGCGCCTCAAAAATAGACTCCTCACGCAACGAATCGTGTACCAAGGTATTTTTGAGGCGCCTCAAAAATAGACTCCTCACGCAACGAATCGTGTACCAAGGTATTTTTGAGGCGCCTCAAAAATAGACTCCTCACGCAACGAATCGTGTACCAAGGTATTTTTGAGGCGCCTCAAAAATAGACTCCTCACGCAACGAATCGTGTACCAAGGTATTTTTGAGGCGCCTCAAAAATAGACTCCTCACGCAACGAATCGTGTACCAAGGTATTTTTCAGGCGCCTCAAAAATAGACTCCTCACGCAACGAATCGTGTACCAAGGTATTTTTGAGGCGCCTCAAAAATAGACTCCTCACGCAACGAATCGTGTACCAAGGTAGAATGACTAAAAACGGGCCCTTGCGGTACACGATTGACCCCCATCAGGCGTTTTTGCGTAGTTCGTGATGAGCACAACAAGAAAACACATCCTGTCAGGCACTAGCCTTGCAGCACACAGGGATAGCACTTAGAACACTTCAAAAAAAGAGAAATAAAAAAAAGGCCCACTCTCTCACTCACCTTGCCAGGGAAATGGGACCGAATTGCCATTTTGAAGTCGATGGAGTTGGTGATGAGCATCCAGCGCACCGTGAGAGGCGGCGGGTACCACATGTCCTCTACTGCCTGGGGGGATGGGGGACGGTGTGAGTCGGAGTGAGTCTAGGAAGGGGTGTGGTGGTGATGTGAGTGAGCATCCAACACACAGTGGATGGCGGTTCCCTGGCACAGCCATTTTGAAGTCGACGGAGTGGGTGACGAGCATCCAGCGCACCGTGAGAGGCGGCAGGTACCACCTGTCCTCTACTGCCTGGGGGGATGGGAGAAGGGGAGAGGGAAAGGGGGAGTGTGGTGGTGATGTGGGGCCCTCACTGCAGGGGTTGAGGGGGAAAGAGTGCAGAGCAGAGTGCGAGGAGAGGGAACCACTCGTCCTCTACTACTGCCTGGGGGGATGGGGGAAGTGAGGGGAGGGGGGGGGGTGAGAGATAGCGAGTCCAGAGCACTGAGGGAGAGTGAGAGCAGAGGTGGGGACTGAGGGAGAGAAGAGCAGAGTGAGGGAGGAGAGGAGGGAACTAGGAGAGCAGAGTCTCAGTTCATTTCTCATCTGCTTGCTGGTGGCGGGAGAGAGGAAAGAGCCCCTGAGCCTTGCTCCTGAGCCTATATAAGCTCCTCCTGTCTACTGAGTCCTTGTTTAGTTCTCAGTTCATTTCTCATCTGCTTGCTGGTGGCGGCTCCGCCTGCGACCGCGCGTTACGGGACGGCAAGAAGCTTCAGACCTGTCATCGTTACAACAACGACATACAAGCGGGCTTTCTAGGCGGTTTTCAATAATGGGGGTCCCCGCGGGGGCCCCCGGCGTCTGTTAAACATGCAGGTACCCACGCTAGAGGCGCTGGCAGGGGGAAGCTGCGCCGGCGCCGCCACTGCCGCTGGCGGAAGAGCCGCGGGAGCTGCTGGCGGGGGAGCTGCGGAAGCCACCAGCACTGGTGCTGGGGCAGCCGGCATTGCCAATGCCTGGATCACCGCAGGCACGCGAGCAAGCACCCGAGCGACAACTTCGTCGACGCTCGGGGAACGAGCGGCTGAGCCCCCTCACTGCATCTGCGGGCCACGCTGCGGGGGGCGCGACGGCCTCCGCGACCTGCGCCGACGTGTATCCCGCATCGGCAGACGGCGGGGCAGGCTCCGCCACTCGGGCGTCCGCAAGCGGTAGTGCGGCTCCGGGGACCGCCCGGGCCAGCGATCACCCACCTGCCGATCGAACAGCCGTTCCCGGGATCGCCCTCGCCCATACGACCGAGATGACACCATCACGGGGAGGCGTTCGCTGGTGGACCCCGCAGGGGCGTGCTCGACGGGCGCCAATGGCTAGCGCCGCGTCAGCGCCGGGGGATCGCGGACAAGGATGGCGGGGAGCGGGGAGGAGTAAAGCTCGGGGAGGTGCAGGCGGCACGTTCGTCCAGGCTGTTCGCCGCAGATTGGCTGACGCGACTGTTAACTCGGGGGCGGGGGCCAGGGCGGAGAGCCCTAGTAGGGCTGAGATCAGACTAAGGGAGGCAGCCGTTGGTGGAGACGGCGCCGCTGCTGGGAATGGTGAGGAGGGATCGGGTGACTCTAGATACACCCCTTCTTTTGAGGGGGACTCCGAGTCTGTGTCTGGGGAAGACAGTGCTGCAGAAGGAGGGGGTCCGAGGCGGAGTGGGGCCCGAGCCGCCCCGAACCAGCGAAATGCGGAATTCGAGGATTTTCCGAACCCAAATCCCCAATTTCTCTCGCCCAAGGCGCCGGTAATCTGGAATGATCTTTTCGACCTGGTCGCCAGCTAGGATATCGCTCCCCTTCGCAACAGTCGCCAACCCCCGCTCGTCCGACATCCACCCCGCCCCATTCGGGACCAATTCGCCAGCTGTCTGCTGACCTCCCTCCTCCGATTGGCCAAGGACCCGGACTCAGTGCCAGCCTGGCGCCTACTGATATTTCTTGCCCGCCTTACCCTCTGCGTTGGCACAACTCGCAAGCCTGATTGGCCCTCCTTCGAGCGCCGTTTGGACTCATTTCACAGGGGTTCCTGGGCAGATGTTTACGACGAAGCTGTTGCCGCCACCACTCTCCCTCCCCCCCAGCGCCACTTGCCTGACAGGACTGGGATATTTTCCCATGCCACGCGCCACAGAAACCTTGGAAAAGCCCTTCAAGCGCTGGAAGCAACTACGGTCAGCCCATCTACCGCCGAAACGCTTTCCGCGCTCCATTCTCGCCACCCACCTGCCTCCCTTGACATCCCAGAGTGGGTCCACTCACACGCCCTCGAGCGTAAGCCCACTATCTCAGCAAGGTCCTTCCGCCGCATCATCAGCCAGCTGCCTAATGGCGTAGGAATGGGCCCCTCGGGGACGTCCTTCGAAGTCCTGCGGGATGCGGCGCTTCACAACTCCGACATCTGTGGCCACCTCCTGGCCCTCACGAACGCGGCCCTCGCTGGTGCCCTTTGCTCCGAGGCCTCCGCGCTGCTCACCTCCGCGCTGCTCACCTCCTCGTGCCTCCTTGCCTTCACAAAGCCAGGTGGCAGCACTCGGCCCATAGCCTTCGGCGAGTGCCTCCACCGTCTGATTGCCAAAGCCGCGCTCCACCTCGCCACGCGGCCTGCCCAACTCCACTTCACCCCCATTCAGTTCGGAGTCGCCATCCCCGGCGGCGCGGAAGTGATAATCCACATCACCCGCGCCTATCTCGACATCACCCGCGCCTATCTCGACATCACCCGCGCCTATCTCGACATCAAATCGGGACACATCGCCCTCCAAATCGACGCCTCAAACGCGTTCAACGAGATTGAACGCGCCGCCGTCTTCGCGGGGCTCGGAGGAACGCCCTTGGAGCTCCTAGTCCCCTTCGTGCGGCTCTCGTACGGTGGCCCTTTCACCCTCCATGTCGACCACAGTTTCGGTTCCCCCCCCCTCGCCAGCGCCTGCGGGGTCCGCCAAGGGGACCCTGTTTGCGGCGGGGCTGCACCCCGCGCTCAAGGACACCGCCGCCGCCTTCCCTAAACTACTCGTCCTCGCCTATGCGGACGATGTCATGCTCCTGGGTCCGCCAGCAGCGTGCTCCGCTGCCTTCGCCCACCTCACCACTGCCATTGGCGGCTGTGGCCTCCGTCACAACCCAGCGAAGTGTGAAGCCTGGGGCCCGCAGGGTGTGCCACCCGAGACGCTACCGCCTGGCGTTTCCGCCAGCACCACGTGTCTGCGCCTCCTCGGCAGTCCTGTGGGGCCGGTGGACGCCTGCGCCGCTG